AGCATGCTGGCTGGGGAATTCTGGGAGTTGAAGTCCACCCGTCTTCAAGTGGCCAAGGTTGAGAAACACTGGTCTTATCTTTCCACCTCTGTGCATATAAAACAAAAATTTTCCCTTTCCGAAGAGGATCCCCACCACTTACCCGATCCGCGGCTTCTTGGCTCAGGAGCCACAGGGAACAGAGGGCGATGCAGGTGATGTTGACCGGAGGAATTGTGTCAAGGATCCCCTCCAGAGTTGCCAAGCCCTTCACAGTTGGCGGGGGTCTCCTCATGGTGGAGGGGCTGTTTGGCATCCATGCCCCAAAGTCGAACTGAGAACGAGGGAGAGGCCTGGGTGAGCGGACCCTTGCAACGCCCACCCTGCAGGGCACATGCGGGCTTTCCCGTCTACATGCCAAGGTGCAGGGGGCAATTTGCAACAAGTTAGACCAGATGCCATTCCCCATCATCCGGGATGGCACTGCTGAAATTTGGTGCCCAAATCTTCCAATTTTGAGAGCGTGGGTATCTCAGGGAGGGGGCATGGGTTGAAAATCTACAAGACTGGGAGGGGGGGCATGATGTTGCAACTGAGGTCCTGCCCTTTTAAGCCCCCCCTGCTGTCTTGCTGATTTTCAAACACCCCCTCCATGGCCAGTTCTGTTGGGCAACACAATGTTTTTAGGATTTTTTAAAAATTAAGGTCAAGAATGGGAGCAGAAGATCCCGGAGTGGCTTCCACGCTCCTTCCTATCTTAAATCTCTACCCCACATCAAGGAAGAAAGCTAAAAAGCCCACAAATGTTCCCAAATCCCTGTTTTCTGGGTTAATTTCAGCTTGTTTGGGGTGTTTTTTGGGGCTTGGGGGGTGAAAGTGAGAAATTTCTGGCTCTCAGAGGCCTCCCGCTTCTTTACAGCCCCTTAACCCACCTGCAGTGGGTTCAAAATGTCAGCTTAGCCCCTCTGGGTCACGCAAATGCCTCCTGTAGCCCCCAAATGCCTCTCCTGGGGCCCATACCAGCTCCAAGGTTGTCCACCGCAGCGTTATATCCTAGTTGGATTATTGCAACGCGGTCCACATGGGGCTGCCCTTGAAGAGCATCTGGAAGCTTCAGCTGGTACAGAATGCAGCTGCCCGGGTGGTAAATAGTGTCGGCTACTCGGCACGTGTCACACCACTGCTTCAGGAGCTGCACTGGTTGCCGGTGTGTTTCCGGGTGCAATTCAACGTGCTGGTCATCACCTACAAAGCCCTTCATGGCTTGGGACCGGGTTACCTGAGGGACCGTCTTTTCCCAGTTATTTCTACCTGTCCAATTCGGTCTGGCAGGATGGGCACGCTCCGGGTCCCGTCAGCCAAGGAATGTTGGGAGACATGCCTTTCCTGCTGTGGCGCCTGCTCTCTGGAACATCCTCCCTCCTGAGATTAGGATGGCCTCGACCCTTCTGGCTTTTCGGGAGGCCTTGAAGACCTGGCTTTGTGCCTGGGCCTGGGGCCCCGAGGGTGTGTGAAGGGCCCCGTTTCATGGTTGTGTTGATACCAACAGTTTTTAAAGATCTCTTGGCTGCAC